TGTGTGTGTGTGTGTGTGTATATATATATATATATATATATATCAGACTTAATTTTTAGGATTTCTGTAAAATGTCAGTTTATACTTACTCAATGAAACAAGTTATTCATATATGAAATTATTCAATCTTCTCAGCTGGACCTATATCAGAAATTAAATGACTTTTACTTTTCTCAAGTTGAAGTGTTTTGTTTATTTAGTTATTTACTTAATTACTGTGGATTTGTTGTTTATTTTCTTCCTGCCTTGTTTCCTTATCACTTGTTTCTTACATTTTTTCTTGTTTCTTTATCTGTTTACTTTTGTTGCTTAAATGCTTGTATGTGTTTTTCTTTACATTCTTCTCATTTACTCGCACATCAGGAAAGGGAGCCCAAAGAGTGAAAGATAAGTCATGCTCCTATAGCTAGAAGTTCTTTCAGAATACTTTTCTTTTAGTGAAAGAACAAAGAGATGAATTGCTGACTCATAAACAAGTCTTGTGTAGCCAGTATATCAAGAACAATTAAGATATGAGAACAATGTAATGAATAATTAATTAACACTGTAATATAGCTGGCTTATCACATTTTAGTGGTTGTGACATGTCAGACATAGTGAGATTTGTGGTACTTATGGAAGTGAATATGAAGATACTGTCTTTTGGGTTATTGTACCTTGTAATCTGGTTTAGATGTGCTTGCAGTATCTTTTGTCAAGGTGATAAGTAAGTGATTGCGCTCATTTTGGAGGTACCATGCATCTTTCAAATGTCAGTACACTTCTACCAGACTTCATGATGCAACAACCCAGAAGACAATCATCTTTATGTCAGACATAACATTCATGATGGCTTCAGTAAATGTCTTCATTTCTCACACATTACTTACTGGATGTAGCAGAATCTCATCCCTGTAATGAGAAGTGCCTAATCTTACACATGTTCACAACTAAAAGTTGCAAAAATATGCATGTTAGCTTTGTCATGTCTGTCTCTTCATCCCTGTGTCTGCATGTAACATGTTCCTTGACCAATAATTTGGCAAGAAGAAGTTGGTGATCAAGAAATTACAGACTGATCAAACTAATTAATTGTGACAGAGTTACTATTTACTTTGTTAAACTAGATGATGGGTTGTTTTAGGGCCAGTTCATAGGAGTGATGGGTGCTGTTGGGACAGGAAAGTCATCTCTGTTATCTGCACTTCTTGCAGAGTTGAACAAGGAATCTGGTATCATAGCACTATCTGATCTTGATAAAGGTGAGGCAGCTACAGAATGCTATAAGTAAAACAATATTATGCCATAGCTCATGTGGTTATATGCTTGCTTCTTAATGGAGTGATATGGCTTGGATCCATTATTCCAGTGTTTCAGTGTTGTATTTTACTGTTCACAATGAGGTTCTCACTAGGCCTCACCAGCCAGCATGTAATCACAGCCTTGGTCCTTTATTGGGGCTTTACCTCTGACCAGACGTTTGGTTGGATCCACAGGATAAAGAAGTCTACTTTAAGGAAACTGACATTTATGGAATTTTGATTTGTACGTTTGGATTTGTACATTTTATTCTTAAATATTTTAAATGTCTTCCCCTTCTGATCTTATTTCATGTCATCTCATGAGACCAAATATGATTTACAAAAGGTTATTAATACTTTTTTTAACTAAGTGAAACAAAATGTGTTAATAGTGTGAGGCTCTGTGTTTAATTTTGTGGTCTTCTTTGCAGTGTCAGTTCCTGACACTTGCACATACCAAACTTTATAATATAGTGTTATAAAATTATGTAGTACATATGAAACAAACCATACTTGTACATTTGAACAATTTATTTTAGTGTAGGCTGTGATCATCTACCATCAGACACATGTAGGTACATACACTAAATTGATATTATAATGTTATTTTAATTATAAAAAACATTAAGTTGTCATAAAAATATAGAGCAACATCTCCATCCATTATGTACTTTAAGTTTTGATAGTGTGGATCATTTTCTAGGAACACAACAGACAGCCTGTGTGAGAAATGTCTGTTGTGAGCTTTATTTGATATATTTTCGATAATAAGTTGCATGAACTAAAAGTGTTCATTGGTTCCACAGGTCAGGGTTTGCCTTAGGAAAAATGGCACCATTTATGAACAGAAATTCAACCTCCTCCCTCCCCCTACCAGATTAATAACATGGATAATTTGTAAAACATGTGATCACTTGCCAGAATCATTGCATAATATTCCAATGATGGTGGTGATGATGATGGCACTGATGATAAGTACAATGATGGCAGTGGTGGTGGTGATTACAGCTTTACAACACCTTGCAATGCTTTCTGTAACTTTTTATGTTCTGTCTTACATTCTGGCTGTTAGGAAACAGTAAAACATTTTGATCTGACAGTTGAATAGAAAAGAATCAAGAATTTGCAATCATGATATCAAACCAGCCTGGCACTTGCTTGGAAGGACTGAGGAAACCATGAAAATCCCTCCCCCATATTGAGGGAATGCGAAGCCATAACAGTTTTGAGTTGCCTGCCTTTATCAAGAAGAAATGTTTAAGAAGTCTATTGGTGCCAAATTTTATTTTAGATTGGTATCAAAATGCTATTTATGAAATGTAAATTAAATTCAGTGATAAAAAGTGGAGATATAAAAAATAGTGGTATGAGAAAACCACAATTTCTGGCTTTTAGATTTTGATAAAACTTAAAACAACTGAAGTGGCTACACAAAATTATGTCAAAAGATTTGAATATGATATTTTATGAAAATTTGTTGAGCAGAAATTGAGCTGTTACAACAGACAGACAGTTCAGCAACAATGCTGACAGGCATATAGTACAGTAAATGGTTTACATTTGTTAGGAAACTGTTTGTGTGTCATGCTGTTGTGTGAATCTCTTGAAACTCTCACACATTGTCTTAACTTTACAGGTTTTGGGTTTGTTACTCAGCAGCCATGGCTTCAGAGGGGCACTATAAGAGAAAACATCCTGTTTGGGAAATCATTTGAACACAATAAATACAAGTAAGATATTCATGTAATTTATACAGCTGGCTGTTTCATTAGATCACAGTTCAAAACAATGTACAATGCTCTGTCATCAACATCTAAGCTGTTTGCTCTCTTGACATTCCAGTATTTACATTGTTGACTCCAAGAGTTTGAGTTTTTCTACTAAGAAAGTAATTTTTATCAAGGAACACAGTCTGTTCTTAGTAATCCCATGGAGTTGCATGTTTGCACCTGTCAATCTGTCTCCTGATATTGTAGAAACTAATTGACAAATTTTCATTAAATTTGTTGATCACTGGAGACCTTCCTATCTTGGTACTTGTAATTCCCTTTTGTTAACACTCACCCTGATCATTCAATACAGAGTTTGGAAGTTCTCTGTGGTGGTAGATTTGTGGGTCTGAAACTTTATCACCTTATGGAAAGAACACATAGATTGAGGAAATTTGAGAACAAAGTACTAAGAAGAAAATAATAAAGAGTAACTAGCAGGCGGATAGAAAAAATCATGTAATTAGGAGCTTTATAATCTGTATTCTTTACCAGATATGGTTATCAAACCAAGGAGGATTATAATTACATAGAAAATTTTAATTGAAAGGACTGAAGAGAAGTCCACTAAACATGTATAGGAGGATAATATTAAAATGTTTCATAAAGAAATAGAGTAAGAGGGTGAGGACTGGATTTAACTGGCTTAAGATGAGATCTGTTGTTGGGCTCCTGTGAACACAGTAAGGACCCTCCATGTTTTATAAAATGTGAGAAATTTATCAAACACATGAATGGTTCTTGGTTTATGAAGGAGTCTGCTTCATAGAGAGAATTTGATCTTTGAAAATATGCAACTTTTATTATGGCAGTTTTGTAGACAGATTCTGACTACAAGAAATGCTTAGGTTTGATGACTGGAAAGATGAGTCATGTTAATGTGATGCATGAATTTGTATAGTGACTTTTTATAAACACATCTGTTAGTAGTGTTAGTGACAGTGATTTGTTTTTAGATTATTTAACAGTGCTTTCTCAACTGCATTGAGTATACAGTATTGACCAAAACATGTGAAGATTACCATGAATGTTGAATTCTGAGGGAATTATAACAAGCATTTTCTTTAAGAGAGTGGGGTAAACCACAATAATTTCAACCCATGTAGCCAGTAACATGACCAGAATTCAGACTGGGCACCTCCTGAATAAAAGGTATGAGTGTTACTCCTATACAAACATGCTCAGTACTAGTGATTTTAAAACTTGTGGTGTATGCCCACACGTACCCTAAATTGTACCTTGCTAATGTTGCATATTATTAATTTTATTCCAGACTTTATGAGGTTTATGTTGGTTGTAGAAGTATCTAGTTTTTATCTTTTCAATTCAATTAATTTATTTACGTGTTTGCCAACAGCAAGAAGCCAATAACAGGCAAACACTGATAATATATACAATAATAGTGAAATAATAATGGATAATATTACACAAACGGATTAACTAAACTTATACATGTACAGTATTAAATATAACTGCCAAGTACAGGCAAACCCAAAATAGAAACAATATTAACACAGAGCAAAAAATGAAGAAATATAAATAAAAACAAATAATCCACCTAGGGAACACTAATATAAATGTACATCGTTAAAGAAATACAAAAAAATGACGCACCTGGCTGAAGGACTATGCCTTAGTGCCCTGCTCACACTAAAAGTAGAAAATTCTCTTATTTGCCTCGCCGGCACACGTAAACCAACAGCGTCCATAATGGGATGGCAATTTATTTTGCCCTTAAATACATTAATAAGAAATAACGCATTGAGATGTCGTCGTCTGGAATAAAGTGTTCTAAAATTTAAAGTAGATAGGATCAGTTCATATTTTCGGGGGATATTAAACTGGAAAAATCGGTAATTGCATAAACTGGCAAATTTTCTTTGAATATTTTCTAATTTATTAGAATCTGTCTGTGTAAGATTATTCCAAACGACCGAGGCATACTCAAGCTTTGACCTAATTAAAGCATTATATAAAACAACAAGGCTGTCTAAAGAGGAAAAATTATAAGTAATAAAACGAATAAGCCCTAAGGTCCTTAGTGCCTGGGAATGAACACAATTTACATGACAGTGAAAATACAGTTTACTGTCTAACAAGACACCAAGATCTTTTACAGTAATAATGAAACACTTATGTTTTTGTCCAGGTCCATTATTGAGGCATGCTGTTTGGTAGATGACTTCAATATGCTGCCTGATGGTGATATAACAAGTATAGGTGATGGTGGGGTGACTCTCAGTGGAGGCCAGAAAGCTCGGGTGGCACTAGCTCGGGCTGTGTATCAGGTAAGTTTTGCTATTATTACAGATATGAAATGAATAAAGTTCAAGATGGGAAACATGAGTAACATGAAGATTTTTAAAATGCAACACTTATAAAACATTTGATAACTGAGGGGAAAGAACACTTGAGTATGTATCACAGAGTATAAATTAATTTCTAGGACAAGAATATTTACTTCTTGGATGACATCATGTCAGCTGTTGATGTGAATGTGGCCAGGCACATATTTCACAAGTGTATTAATGGTCTTCTGCGCACCAAAACCAGATTCCTCTGCACACATCATATCCAGTACCTGCTCTGTGCTGACCATATTCTAGTTATGGAAAATGGTAGAATAACACAACAGGGTAAGTATTCCAGTAGTGCATAATGATGTTACATTCAGTACCATATATTTGTCACATCAAAATTCAAGATGGCTGCATTTTTTGTATTTGTGAATTCCTCATCTTTCAAGGTAAAAATGTTTACTTATTGCTTTTGTTCCTGGCCTTATATCCATTCATCTTAGTTGTTACCTTCTAGTAAAGACAGTTTATACCAAAAATATGCTTATAGTGTCCTGAGTGGATGAGATTCTCAAACACACCTGATTTATTCTTTTCAGTTGTCATACTTTTTTTGCTTGTTAGATATGATTGTGAGTGTTGCAAGACTTGCTTTTATATTTTAGTTTTTTTATGTGTAGGTAAACCTACAGCTATTCTGTCTGATTATGATGATTATCTCTCACCTTCTGAATTTGACATTGGTGATTCAAGTTATAGTCATAAAGAGAATGCTAAAATTATCAGAAGTGATACTGATACAGCATCAAGTACAGACAGTATTTTGGAGGAAGAGGAGAGAGAAGAAGGAAGTGTTCACATGAATGTTTATCTGTCATACCTGAGAGCAATAGGATACCTTCTTAGTGGAGCCATTTTGCTTTCTATACTTCTGATGCAGTCCTCTAGGAACATAACAGATTGGTGGCTCAGTTACTGGGTGAGTGCTTATATACAGAATTTAAATAACTGATAAATAGTTTGTATTGAACTTTACTGCATTTATTGCACACAGTCTTACTAGGTAAGTAAGTTACATTTACATTTTGTTCCATTATTTACTGGCACAAAAGTTCTTTCATTTGAAATTGTTTGACATACTTTTATACATATTTTTAATTTAAATTTTTGTTGTGACTGATTATGGTGTCCCTTTAATTCTTTTATCACATACAGGTGTTACTTCTTGTATTATAAATAAATATGTTTAGATATGTTAATAATAATTATAATTATAGATTATTATTTCTGCTGTGCAGTGTGAGACAAATAGGAGATCAGTCCTTAGAAATTCTACTGCTGTTTTTCAAGAAACATTGATGACTACTGCTGAAATATAAGGATACTTGTTCCTACCATCAAGAGTAGCACAGTCTGTCTTATGGGTGCCTTCCCTTCCCAAAAATGGTATTACCACTGCTGAGGCAGGCAGAGGCCAGAAAAGTAGAATATACTATAAAACAAAAACAAAATTTTATGTTAACACCAAAAGTGAACATACAGTTCCTCTGAAAGCCAGAATAGTATGTCAGCTGGTCAATTTCTATTAGGGACAGGATTTGTTCTTTGCCACCATGCCTAAACCAGCTCTGGGATTCCACCCAGTTTCCTAACCATTGTGTGCCAGGATGATGTAAAGTGGTTGCAGCATGAGGCTGTCCATTCACTTACATCTGGTACTTAAGTTAAGAATGTGCAGAACTTTACTTTCCTCATGCCTGCTATAGAAGGGCAACTATGAGAAATTTCCTTAAATTTCTTGCTTCATTATAACCTTGTTCTACTCTGTGTAAGACAGATGTACTGCAGTAACTTACTAGCAAAGTCCTTCATGAACAGGAAACAGTTGCCCAGATAGGAAATTTCTTACTTTTAATGGAATATGGAAGTTTAACAGTGTCATATTTGACAACAACCCACCACTGAGATGCATGAATCGTGGCCTTTTCTTGGAATTCATCTTAATATTATTGTCCCATCTATTCATAGCTCTGCAGAATGTTCTCTACCCTTTAGGTTTTCTATATGCATTTGTCATCTCACCCATGCATACCACATGTCCTACCCATCTTACCGTCCTTGATTTGATTGCTTTAATAATATCTGGCTGAGAATACAGATTGTGAAGTTCATCGCATAATTTTCTCCTCTTTTTCTGTTACTTCCTATCTCTTACATCCAAGTATTGTACTCAGCTCCCTGTTCTTAAATATGCCTTTGTTCCAAAATGTTGCAGGTGAACCATGATTCTGTAAATGTTCACAATGAAACCAACACCTCGCTCTTCAGTGTTGAAGCATTGATGAATTCCAGTGAAGGGAGTGTTTCGTATTACTTGACAGTGTATGCTGTCTTTGCTGTTCTCAATTCCGTTTTTACACTCTTCAGAGCATTCCTGTTTGCTTATGGAGGGATACATGCTGCTACAGATGTTCATAAGCAAATGCTGAAAACTATCATTAAGGTAAGTATCATATTTAGGTATGAACTAGTGAAACAGAATCTTCTCTTACCTCAGCACCAGTAAACTGAGGATGGAGTTACGGGAATTTATGTCTGATTGGTATGTTATGCAAGGATATTTTGGTAAATGTTCTCAAAGTAATGAATAAAAATGGTCTGAAAAGTAGTGCATGAAGTTTCTTATACACTGAGATGATTCTCTGTAATTGATCACTTATTAATTTGTAATTTATGTTATTGTTGTTATTATTTATTCTCATGTCATAAGTATTTTTCTTTTTGTGGTATTTCTCCATTTGAACCTGTGGTGAATCCTACTATTCAGACTTCTAGTTTCAGTTTGTAGCATTTTCTGTGTTATGTGCATTGTTCCTAGTATGGCTGTATTTTGTAGAGAATATACTGAATGCTTTCCTAGTATTGTTTCTAGATTTTTTAGTCCTTTATTTGCAATTCCTTGCCTCAGTGATTACCCATAGGACAAAGCATTTTGTATTCCGTGTTTGTTGAATTTCTATACTGAAATTTTTGTATTTTAATTTATTTTTAGTCTCCTTGTGTATGACATTCATATTTGATATTATTGTTTGTCAGTAAGCAAATTTTATCTTTCTTGTTTTTAATTATGATGTCTGCCCTGTTTACCAGAACCTCTCGATCTGTCTGTACCTTTCATATTTACGTACCAATTTAGTATGTGTATTTATCATTGTCATCTGAATACTAAAATATTTATAGTGGTTGCTTATCGACATAATGTACAGGTAAACCTCGATTTATGCCGGGAATGCGTTCCTGGACGAACCGGCAATTTATGCGGCGTAAATTGAAACTCTTTTTATAATGTAAATCAATGGGAAGTCAATGACATGCATTCCCGGCACCCAAATATTGACGACTTAAGTTCTTCAAAAATTGACTTTGCCTTATCCATGATAGCAGTTTCAGTCAAGGGAATGTTTTTTTGATTCATGTCATCCACCCACAGCAACAGTAATTTCTCCATTCTTTCTAAAAGTTTACTTCTGCTATAACTCACTTGTGTTGCACGTACTCTCGTAGCCTGTTGCACTGACTGTTTTATCTTATATGAATTTTTCATTATGGTATAGACAGTGGAAGGAGGCAACTTCATACTTCTGCACACATTACGACAGGTATCACCACCTTCTATTCTACGAATTACGTCTATCTTATCTTCTAACGCAATAGACTTACGCAACTTTTTAGCAACACATTCACTTCTCTTACCAGACATGGTGGCTTTTCTACAATTTATAAATATAAAACAGTTGCTACTGCAGAATAGTGGTCAAACAACAACACAAACACGTTTAGCACACAGTTTTCAGCACATTCAATGTGTCAACAAGAAGCGAACTGAGCGCATTTTTCCTTACTCCCTTATGAGGCTGAACACAATTGACTCACCGTGAAGGTTGCACAATGTTGGCAGATTTTTAGGAGATTATCTCGCAACTATTTAGGTGACAGTATTTATAATGTTTATTCAAAATCAACGATGTAAGAATTATGATTTAGTATAAGAATCAGTAAGAGAAACATTGTAAAACGTTATAAATAATAGTAAAATATATTTTTTTCACTTTTTGACTTGCTGGTTTCAAAAGCGGCGTTATTCTGAATTGGCGCAAATTGAAGTGGCGCAAATCGATGTTTACCTGTATAAGTTTCCACGTACTCCTGCTGACTGCTGACTTACAGCAACTTCTTGTAGCTGGAAGTCCCAAAAAACCAAAGTCTTCAGTTCATTCTACAGGGAGGAATGCATATCAGTTTGCTAACCAGCCTCTTTTCACACACACATACTCACACAGTGAAAGACTACTACAAAATCTAAAATTAGAAACTTTCCAGTTGTGACTTTTACCATTGTATTCCTAGCAGGTAGTAATGGTTTTCTGTGATATGTTCATCCATCAGCTTCTTATTTCACACTATAAGATGTCATCAGAACTTTATCCAAGGGCTGTACTGGTTGAATTAATTTGCTGTCATATGGATCAGTAATACAAACATTATAAAATACAACACTATATCAGACTTATATAGGATTTCTGTTACAGGGATTTGTGTGTTAAAAGTTGTATTTTGTCATATAGCAACTTAATTTGAACAAAAATTAGTTTTTTTGCTGTGTTACATGTATATTTCTCTTTCTTTCTTATTTAAATCTGTTTGTTAATAAGACATCAAAAGTGCAGTTTTGTATTCAAGACAAACAGGTTTGGCTCATAAATTAAGTATTTGCTTGCATTTAGGGTGTTTCTGGCTAAAATCAAGATCTACTGACTCAGGTATTTTATGATTTTCTTTGGTTCTTCCATGCATCTGCCAGAATAGTACAGTATTTTAAAATATACTGAACCTACTACCTCCCAGTGGACTGCTTAGTTTATTTGTAGCTTTCCATGAATTATATTTTATAAGAAATATATTATAGTTTTATGAGTATATGTGTTGGGCTGTGTGGATATAAAAAAACATGTCTCATTCTAAAGAAAAGAAGTTTAAAGGTTTTTTTGTGAACATATTACTGAGGACAATATTTAGAACATAATATGAACTAAAAAGGTGGTTTAATACCTTGGGAGTTTTAATAATATGTATCATCTACCTCATATTTTAATGATGATTAAATTAAGGAGAGTTAGATAGGCTGCACTTATATATTACAAATGGGAGGGAAATGTAAAACTTTGGTTGGCAAACCTTGTGGAAACAGGCCACTTGGAACATCAAGATGTAGATGATAATATTAAAATCAATTTTGTAAAAATAAGTCTGGGAGTATTAACTGGCCCAAACTTCTTCATTGACAAGCTGAATGTTTGGGTTCCATAACAATAAACAATTTCCTGAATAGTTTGTACTAACTGGTTATGAAATGTGAACACACCAGGACTGTCTTGTTTTGCCTCATTTTACTGACAGCTTTTGATGTGTTTTGCAGGCAACTGTGACATTTTTTGATGTGTCACCTCTTGGTCGTATTCTCAACAGGTTTTCCTCTGACACATATACAGTAGATGATTCATTACCTTTCATTATGAATATACTACTGGCACAGTTCTCTGGACTATTAGGTAACTGTACATTCATTGAACTTAACTTTGAGAAATATTGAATGCTTTTTTCATCTTTCTTAGAATTTATATTGAATTGTTTTTCAGGCACAATAATCATAATGGTTTATGGCCTACCATGGATGATTCTTGTTCTTGCACCACTGGTTCCAGTTTACCATTGGCTTCAAGAGCTGTATCGACTGACTTCTCGGGAACTTAAACGACTGTCCAGTGTCACACTATCACCTGTATATAATCACTTCAGTGAGACCCTTTTGGGTTTACCTACAATCCGATCATTACGAGCTGTTCCCAGGTCAGTTGGCCACAGATTTGTGTGTTCAGTGACATATATGCAGGATTTGTCTAGCTCAATTAGTATAGTAACTACGCAACTGGGGGTTCAGTTCCCAGCAAAGGCAAGATATTTTTCTTGTAGTTACCGCATCCACACCAACAACAGCCTCATTTTCAGTGGGTATCAGGGGCTCTTTCTCCTAATTTGTTGTGATCAGAACTTCTGATTACATTAAGATATAGTACCCCCATTCAGAAAGTGTAGGGAGTTCGTGGTTTATGCATACAATGTGAACCTACCTTTGTAGAATTGTTTTCATGCAGCAACTCAGTTTTGAGAAAAATGTGACTTGACTTGTTTCAGCAATAATTGATTCAAGTTTGGTTGACCTTTGTATATAGATGGAAACATTTTAAAGAAAATGGATGTGTCAGGTTTTTCTTACATCTTCTTCTTTAGCTGTTATTATAAAACAACTTGATGCTGATTTTGATTTCATGATATGTACCTATGTATAGTTTTATATACAAATTTTTTCAAGGTATATTTCTTTGTTGATTATTATGCATATTGTTGGATTTGTCATGATTTTGGATAGATTCAAGAGGAAAAATGAAGAGAATTTGGAAGCAAATCAGAAGTGCCAGTATGCAAGCCAGGCAGCTGGACGGTGGCTGGGTCTGAGACTTCAGTTCATTGGAGTGGCCATGGTGACTGGAATTGGAGTGATAGCTATGTTGCAGCACCAGTTCAATGTGGCAGATCCAGGTATTTATAAAAAGAAAAGACCTTCATAGTAGTTGACTGGCTGATTTTCATGCAGTTTAATGAGTATCAATGGACTGGTTAATTTTAAGATTATTTTATAATTCTCTAACAACTACTGAAGTGTCAAATGATATAGAAATTTATTATGAATGATGACTAGGTAAGGAACTGGAATAAAGTGAAAGGGAATTTTTTTAACTGCTTCCATGATCAATTTCTTTCTGAAAAATCATGTTTTGTATTTCATTTTTGTAATGTACGCACAGAAATAAAATTATTGATACGTGTTTTGATGCAAAATATTTAATTTTACTATACAAAATGTTGTTTATGTAATTATAATGATTATTATCCCAAGTTGTCTTGGGAACATTTTCCATTGTTTGTAAATTTAACTTCTTCACAATAACAGCACACACCACAGCTAATGGGAACATGTGCTACTGAAACATAAACGTCCTATTTGTGTGAATCTAGTGTAAAAATGTATAAATGCACATGGCTTGTGAAAGTACAGCAGTCAATCATTTACTGACATTTAGAATGTGATATACATATTTAGTTAATGACCTGAATTAACTGAGTAATATAAAAATAAGCATACAAACAAACTGTTTACACTATAAATGACACTAATGCCAAATGCGTTTCGGCCTCAAGAGGTCATCATCAGTGGCGAAAGGGGAATTAAATCATATAATCTCAAAATAATATGGTTTTAAACAGAATATGAAGGTAAGTTCCATATATATAAAACTGGTAAAACCCAAGCCATCATTAACAAACAGAAAGCCCATGATTCAAACGTATTATTTGACCTAGCATTAAACAGGAAAAAGTAAATTTCATATACAATAGTTGGCCACCCTGAATTCAGAGTTTATATATACCCTACGCATTCAAAAACTGACAGTAACCCCCATGCTTCGTTGGGAGTTCACAGGCACAGACGACGCAACCACGGTTTGCCGCAGACCAGCAACGGCCACCAGACCAGTGGACTAATACCTAAGTGCAGAGTATAATACATCAACTCCTGTGAAACCAACATCCAGTGAAGTGTTACTTTTTATGGTTTTGTAAAAAAACTCACCTTCATATTTTGTTTAAAACCATATTATTTTGAGATTATGTATATGATTTAATTCCCTTTTTGCCACTGATGATGACTTCTTGAGGTTGAAACGCATTTGGTACTAGTGTCATTTATAGTGTAAACAGTTTGTTTGTATGCTTATTATTATATTCTAATACACTACATGGTATGCAAAGTTTTAATTTTTCAGTTAGTAATAATAGAACAGAAGAAAAAAATGTTATCTTGAATTAACTTGGGTTAATATTGTTTTGAAAAATCGTCAGCCCAAGATATCTTAGGATAATCAGGGAAATAGTTATGATCTTTAATTACCTTTTATGCTCCTAAAGGGTTCTGACGATGGTGGATTACACTTAAATTATTCATTGTCTGGACTTTTATGCTTCTTTATCAGTGTTCTGATTTATATAAGTTACCCTGAAATTTGGCAAACGTATTTGGTAGCACATATACATGTAAACAGGCTTTTTCATGTATGAAACAATACAAATAAAATTTTCATTCAAGAATCACCATTGCACACTTACATTATGTGAATTGACATTTAAAAAATGGAACACAATGTTTTTGCAGAGTAAAGACAGGCCCACGTTTCACAGTAATAAAGTAAGTTTAGGCTATTGTTTTGTAATGTTTTATTTTGTGGTGATTATGGTAGAGATATTTGAATATTCCAGCACTTGTAGCACAGTTCAGTATGGGCTGCCTGCCTAAAAGATTGAGCACCGGATGTGTAAATCAAAATAATAGATAAGAATTCTTGATTTTTCTAGTCTTGATAATTTAAAATAAGTGTGTTTTATGTTTCACAGAAATTATGTTCATGTTTAAAGATTAAAAATAAGTGATAATTTTTTCAGACCCACCTTTTTAAGGTATTGTTTGTGTTCAAAATGTGAGTGTTTGCATATCTCACATTCTTCTGCCTACAGTGTATGGGTAGTTCATATTTATCATGATTTGCTGTTTTTCATTGTAGGTTTGATCGGGTTGGCTATTTCGTATGCTCTAGCAGTGACTGGTTTGTTGAGTGCTGTTGTCAATGCATTCACAGAGACAGAAAAAGAGATGATTGCTGTGGAAAGAGTATGCCAGTACATTGATCAGATTGAGCTTGAGAACAGTCGAGAGATAATTGCTCCTCCATATGCTTGGCCTAGTCAGGGGGTTGTCACTTTCACAGATGTTGTGCTCAGATACAGGTGAGTGATACTGGTTTTTTGTTAACTCTTTCAATATTAACATGTTTTGTTGCCTTTTTGCTCTTTTGTTGGTCTCTCACTCTGAGGGATTAGAAAAATAAAGCATCAAAACACAGGAGAGATGACAAATTATGGAAGTTCATAAATTTTACTCTTTGCCATATATTGTTAAAATAATTATTTCTAGAAGTTATGAGATAGATAGGACGTGGAGGATGTTAAACATTTATAAACTTGTCTTCATTTCATTAAAATCCACAAAACTTAAAAAAAAATTCATGTAAGTTGTAAAATGTAATAAGGAACAATTATTATCTCTGATGTGCTTTTCATTTACTCTACAATAAATTGTTTCTTACTTTACAGTTCATTTTTCAGACAGAACTTTTGCTCTTGCATGGTGATTGAGTCTTAGGTTACTTCATGATACTGTATGATCTACAGATATTATAAAGAATCAGATGAGATGAGAGTATGTTCATGTATGGTGTATAGGTAAGGATTTGGAAGGAGATCGTCATGCCCCATTTCAGGGCACTAGCCTACTTTTACCTGGTGTGGCAGACCTCAGAACTGTCACCCATGATAAGTGGTATGATACTCTTACATGATATGTTTTGTTTTAGAGAACACTTGGCACCGTCACTAAAGGGCGTAAGTTTCACAACTCGTCCTGCAGAGAAGATAGGTGTGGTTGGTCGAACAGGTGCTGGCAAGAGCTCTCTGTTTATGGCCTTGTTCAGACTCACTGAACTCAGTGCTGGGGAAATTCTTATAGACACAGTCAATATTGCCCACATTGGTCTTACAAGTTTGCGGTAAGTACTAGCAAAGTACCTTCACATTATGCAGTTATTGATTACTGGTAGTTGATTGGTTTAGAATGGGCTCCACTGGTGTAGTTACGTTCCATTAACTGTTCATCAGAGAATTGAATCAAACGAAGATGTAACGAACTGAACTTGAAAAAATAATATAAAGACAGTAGTGAAATTTCCTCCACGCTTGGTACAGTAAAATTTTGGTATAATGAATACCAGTATAACAAAAATATTATTTGCTCATTAAGAAAAGTATTTCTCAATAACTGGTCGTATTATAATGAAATTTCAGTGTGGTACTGTAAAACCGCATCCATATTCAAAAGAAATTTGTTCAATTTTACAGAATTATCTTAAGTGTTCTTAAGAAAATGTTAACCCCTTTCTGAGTAAATTCTGTAACAGCATGTGCATCTGTTTAGTAAACTAAAAGAAGAAAATATTCTGATGATAATCTTACCTACGAACAAGCACATTATAAAAATCTTTCCGCTTTCATAATTCATGTAGTATTCAATCTGGCACAGAATAAAGGCTAGTGATGATATGTCAGTTTTGGATTATTTGGATGAAAATCTTTTGATGGCAGTGATTATGGAATTGGTGATAGTAAAGAATGTGATTGCAAAATTAAATCTTACATTATTAATTAGTTTTATTGCCTGTCATTGTAATGACATTTCATTATAATAATTTCCAGACCACAAACGTTATACTCAAATTTTACTACGATGGTTGTTCTGTCATGACAGTCTTCTGTAAGTAGGTAGTGGTATTTCACGCATTAGGATAAAATGGTTTTATTGATGCACACATGGTGCTTGTATTTCTCATTGGCTTTTATTATTGCTTGTGTTTCAGATCTCGGTTTGCCATCATTCCACAGGAGCCTTTTCTTTTCTGTGGTACTGTTGGAGAGAATATTGATCCACTGGATGAGTACCGTGATGCTGAGCTGCTTGGAGCACTGCAGCGATGCCATCTATCTAATGCAATCAACAGATTAGGAGGTTTAGGAGCCCAAGTAGGACATGGGGGTCATAATCTGTCTGTTGGGCAGCGTCAGCTTCTCTGCCTAGTTAGAGCTGTACTTCATAATGCAAAGGTAGGTGTTGTACTGACATATTTGTATTCAATCTTTTTACCAAGAGCATAACATGAATACATATAAGGATTTACTCTTAGGTTATTTGGCTGTTTTGTTGAACTTTTGGCTTGAATGAAATGGGACAATATCAGTCAAACTTCATCACGTTTCAAAGATGGCTTATCATAAAATAAGTATGTTGGGATAGTTTGTTAAATTAAGCCATGGCTGTTTCTTTCAATTTCCTTTCCAATACATCATTCTTTAATTGTCCTCTACTTTGATGCTGTATAGTCTGAGCTACTGACAGCATTGTTAAATTAACCATAATTATGTAATTACAGCTGTATATGGGAAAAGTAAGGTTTAGTTATCTCACTAGAAGATTTACATTAGAAACAAATGACTAGCAAGGTGAATTAGAAATGTAAAACCACAAATATTGCATTTTGAAAATATGTGTACTTCGTGTTCTAATTTTTGTTATTCTTCTGGCATTGATTCGACTTTCTTGGGTTGAAAGAAAGGGCACACAGGAAGTACACCTTTCCACTATGCTATGGTGTATATATAATGAAATACAAAGACAAATACAGTCCACAGATCAGGAGAAAAGCCATAATAGGAATGCGATATACACGCATGCGCAAGATTTCGCAGTGAGTGACAAGCTGCTACTAGCCAACCTAAAAGCATTTGTTCCACAACCACTGAAGGAACAACATACAAAAGGCTTTCATAAGTTCTAATGAGTATAGCTTTAAAATTACCTCACAGTGACCGAGTGAGCTCGGAGAGTTAGAAAAGTCAGTTGCTTCTTCAGACTCAACATCTTCACAAGAAGTCTCTTCGTCATCGCTACTGTCATTTGGATTGGCAATAATTATTGAGTCGATCACGTCAGCAACAGTATTGTTGTTCCAGTTGTTCCACATGTTGGCAGTATCCTTCCCAAGCCTTTGCAGTCACAGTTGCAATCCCTTCTGTTGTTAAATCTAGCAGCCGCTTCAAAGACAGATCCCCTGTCACGTTGTTCTCGCGAACATAGTTTTGTACTTTAGACCATCTATTGGGCTCAGGTCACACACATATATGGAGGAAACCTAACTACAATGAGACCATGGGCGTTTAGTAACTAATCAGTTTTGAATTTTTTTTCTTTTGGTTTCCTTGTCAGTTGGCCTTTTCTCATAGTTGGATCACAGAAAACTCCGTGCCGCTGTAACCATGAGATCATTTCAGATTTAACCAAATATTTTGATGGGGCTTTATCTGCTTGTACACTGTGGTATGGAGCGTTATCAAGTACTACCACTGAACTGGGGGGCAAATTCTGTAACATTTTATCTCTAACCCACTTTTCAAAATTTGTACTGTTCATCTGACCATGGTAGTTGCCACTTGCTGAGCCAGCTTTTTATGTCAGTCCCGCACCTTGAAGGAAACCAGCACGCGATCCAGCGTGAACCATAATCAGTCTTTTTCCAGCATTTCCATCAGAGCATACCCCTTTAACTTCCGTACTTTGCCAGCATTTTTTGAAAGTTAAATTGCTGTCTACCCAGCTTTCATCTAGGTAGAATATTTGTCTTCCTTCTTTGCAAAACGTCTTAATATTCACTAAGTATCTCCCTCGCCAGTTTACTATGTCAATCAAGATCTTGCGCTTACTTAGACATTTCTTCCACTTAAACCCTAAGTTATGTAAAATATTCCGTAGAGAATCAACACCGCATGGAAAATCAATTTTTTGTTTAATTATGTGCAGTAGCTTGGGGCAGCTTGGTACTTTCTTCTGTATTGCGCAAAATTCTTGCACAATCCACCTTATGAAAGGAGTCAGTGGTGACATTCCTATCAGTAGGTCTAGGCCGGTGTTTCCCTGGCATGTGTAAAGGTGACAGTGTGCCCTTGTCGTCTCTATCTTTTGACTCTTGCCTTACCTTCTTAATTAAATCCTCAGATACACCCGCATATCTGGCTGCCCTGTCTGTTGCACGGGTCAAGGGAAATTTTAGCTCTTTCCGTCTTGCTTCCTCATCACACAGCTTCACTACGCTGGATATTATTTACCGCGCTTCCCTGTGAATAGTTTTCCCCTGTTTACATACACTCGACATCTTTAAATCGCCTGTGATTGAATATAGAATATTATCACAACACCCACAGAACGCAGTACAGATGCACTCAATACACACTAATCTCAACTGCTTGATGTTTTCAGTCTGTGTGTAGTAGCATAAAACTCTGGCATGTCATACTTCCCACCAATAGCAGCCCTCTAGTTCACCAGACAGTAAACATTCCCCCCGTACCACACGAGAAACGACTTCCCCGCGCAGGGATTTTCTCGTGATCTGTGGACAGTATATGCGTCATTGCAGTTTAGTAACTGATCTGTAATATTACTGCTACTTAGTGTTATTAATAATGCGATATATGCCTCTATACAGTGTAATGTCTAAACTGCTTATGTACTGTAGCAGTAGAATTATATTTGCAGTAACTGAAGGTCAAGCAGGACTAATGAGGGATTTGAAAGTGCAAAAAATCCATTTTGGACACACAAGTTCAGAAACTGAAGCGTGTATTCCCACTGTTGTTATCAGCTGAAGGAATGCTGTGAACTTACATTCAGAAGATTTCCAGTTTGAATCTCACCTAGGCTACCAGCTATCCTGACAAGGGAATGGTTAGGTTGGTCATGCCGAAACCTCACCTGAAATTTTGCTCATCTACAGAGCCCATCTGGTAATGATTGTACACAAAATTTCAGCTGCTGATGCGCTGTGCAAGGGTGCGAAAAAATTACTCAAAGTTGGTATGTATATTTAAAATTCGCTCCGCCGCGCATGCGCGTGACAGCAGCGCGCCATTCACCGGTACATTGCAGCGGAGGGCGTGGGCCA